GGGGTGATGATGGTTAATAAAATTATATAGGTTTCAGGCATACAATTTTATAATGCATCATCTGTATACTGTATTGTGTGTTCACCACCTTAAGTCAAGCCTCCTTTTATCACCATTTATCCTTACTATACCCTCTTCTACCTCCACCCATCCCCCTTTCCTTCTAGTAATTACCATACTGTTGTTTGTGACTATGAGGATTTTTCTCTCAATCCCTTCACCTTTTTCTTCCAACCCCCTCTGACAGCTCTGTTCTCTACCTATAAGTCTGTTTTTATCTTGTTTGTTAGTTTATTTTGTTCATGAAAATCCACATATGAGTGAAACCATATGGTACTGTGTTTCTGTGACTGGCTTATTTCACCTAACATTATGCTCTCTACATTATGCTCTCTAGGTCCATCTATGCTGTCAAAAAGGATACGACTTCCTTCTTCTTCTTCTTTTTTTTTTTTAATATGGAACGCTTCACGAATTTGCATGACATCCTTGCGCAGGGGCCATGCTAATCTTCTCTGTATCGTTCCAATTTTAGTATATGTGCTGCCGAAGCGAGCACAAGACTTCCTTCTTTTTATGGCCAAGTAGTGTTCCATTGTGTAAATGTACAACAGCTTTTTTATCCACTCATCTACTGATGGACACTTGGGCTGCTTCCAAATCTTGGCTATTGTAAATAATGCTGAAATGAACATAGGGGTGTATATATGCTTTTGAATTAGTGTTTTGGGTTTCTTCAGATATATTCCCTTAGGTCAAATTTTTGGGTCATAAGGCAGTTCTATTTTTAATTTTTTGAAGTAACCCCATATTGTTGTCCACAGTAGCTGTACCAATCAGCTGTACATTCCTACCAATAGAGCACGAGGGTTCCCTTTTCTCTGCATCCTCACCAACACTTGTTTGTTGATTTATTGATGATGATAGCCATTCTGACAGGTGTGAGATGATAGATCATTGTGGTTTTAATTTACATGTTTCTGATGATTGGTGACATTGAGCATCTTTTCATATGTCTATTGGCCATCTGTATGTCCTCTTTGGAGAAGTGTCTATGCAGCTCCTTTGCCTATTTTTTAATTGGATTGTTTGTTTTGTTTGGTGTTGAGTTATATAAGTTCTTTATAAATTTTGAATATTAACTTCTTAGCACATGTATCATTGGCAAATATGTTCTTCTGTTCAGTGGATTTTCATTTTTTTTTTTTTTTTTAATCCTCACCCAAGGACATTTTTTCATTTTTTTGTTCAGATAGAGTGGGAGGGAGAGAGAGGAAGAGAGAGAGAGAGAGAGAGAGAGAGAGATGTGAAAGGGACACATCGAGTGGCTGCCACCTGCACAACCAACCAGGGCCGGGGACACACTGCAACCGAGGTACATGCCCTTAGCGGAAACCGAACCCGGGTCTCTCTGGACTGCAGGCCGACGCTCCAACCGCTGAGCCAAACTGGCCAGGGCATGTGTTTTCATTTTGTTGATGGTTTCCTTTGCTGTGCAAAAACTTTAGTTTAATGTATTACCATTGGTTTAGTTTTTCTTTTGTTTCTCTTGCCTGAAGCAATATATCAGAAAAATATTGCTGTGATAAATGTTCGAGATTTTACTGCCTGCATTTTCTAATAGGGTTTTTATGGTTTCAAGTCTGACATTTAAGTCTTTAATCCATTTTGAGTTTATTCTTGTGCATGGTATAAGAATGTGGTCCAGTTTTACTTTTTTGCACGTATCTGACCAATTTTCCCAACACTATTTATTAGATAGACTATCTTTACCCCATTGTATGTTTTTGCCTCCTTTTATATGTTTTCAGTTTCTTACTCTCTTCTCCTTTTGGTACTCCAATTATGTGAATGTTGGTAAGCTTGATGTTGTCCCAGAGACTCCATATACTATCTTCATTTTTTGGGATTCTTTTTTCTTTTTGCCGTTCTGATTGGGTGTTCTTTGCTTCCTCATATTCCAAATCACTGATTTGCTTCTTGGCATTATCTACTCTACTGTTGATTCCCTTTAAACTATTCTTCATTTCAGTTAGTGTATCATTAATTTCTGACTGGTTCTTTTTTATGGTTTTCATGTCCTTTTTTATGCTGTTGGAGTTCTCACTGAGTTCATTGAGCATCCTTATAACTAGTGTTTTGAACTCTGCATCTAGTAGATTGCTTGTCTCTATTTTGTTTAGTTCTTTTTCTGGAGTTTTGAGCTGTTCTTTCCTTTGGGACATGTTTCTATGTGTTCTCATTTTGGCAGCCTCCCTGTGTTTGCTTCTCTGTGTTAGCTAAAACTGCTACATCTCCCAGGCTTGGCAGAGTGGCCTAATGTAGCAGGTGTCCTGTAGGGTCCAGTGGAACAGCCTCCCTTTTCACTTGACTGGGCACTCCAGGTGCACCTCACCATATGGGCTGTGTACACTGTTCTGTTGTAGTTGAGTCTTGATTGCTGTTGGCACATCAGTGAGAGGGATTAACTCCCAGGCTGATTGCCTGCAAGGACTGGCTGGGACCATTAACCACCATGGAGGATCAGCTGTGTAGGGGTTCACCCCACAGAGTAGGACTTCAGCAGGGCTTTAGTGTCCAGGGAGTTTGTCCCTTGAGTGTGTTTCTTGTGGATGTCATTGGGTGGTGCTTTGTTGTGGTCTGAAGCTATCCACCGGGTGTGCTGGCTCTGGGGCCTCCCAGGAGGTGTACGCTAGGGTACACTTCCGCTGCTTGTGTTCTGCCTGGGGCCACCTGGCATGAGCTACAAAGCAATCTGCAGATGGTTGCTACTTGTGCTGTGCTTGGAGGTGCCCAGGCAAGGCCAAACTGCAAATCAAGGCTGGCCCACTAGTGCTGGGCCTAGGGCCACTTAGTGAGAGGTAGAGGGGACCCTAGGGCCAGATGCTGCTTGTTTGAAGAGATTTTAGGAAAGTTTGAAGCATGAGCCAAGACTAGCCATTTATATGGAAAGCCACTGGAAATAGCTTGGGTGGGCCCACAAATTGGGTGGGGCAGGGTCTCAGGGAATAACTAGGGCAGGGTGAACAGTGATAGCCAGGTTAATGGAGACTCAGCTATGGCACCTGCCTGCCAGATCTGAGTGGGGAGGGTCTCAGAAAAGGACCAGTGGCCTCTGCCCTTTCTTTTGTCTGGGAAAAAGCCGCCTCTCCAGCACTTGTCCAGATGCCAGACAATTCAGTTCCTCCCCATATGTTCCTGGTGCCTTTGGAGCAGCTGCCCTGGTGCTGTTGCTCAGAGCGAGTGAGTCGGTGTAAGTCTGTGCACAGGCCCTTTAAGACTAACTGTCTGGGACTCCAGAAGCCCTTTGTCTCACTCAGCCACAATCCCTAGCTGGTTTTCACAGCCAGAGTTATGGGGACTTATCTTCCTGGGCTGGGGATCCTGTTGTGAAGCTGGGACCACTTGCTCCTCAGGGAGGACCTCTGCAGCCGAGATACCCCTCCTGATTTTGTCTGCCATAGGTGGGTGTGGGACCAGCCTGGTTTGTGTCTCCACCCCTTCTACCAGTCTGGGCTTCTTTATATTCTCAGTTGTAGGACATCAGTTCAGCTGGATTATAGGCTGTTTTGAATGACAGATGTTGTGTGGTTTAGTAGTAATTTTGATGTGCTTATAGGAGGATGCAAGTACTGCATTTGCCTATGTTGCCATCTTGACTGGAAGCTCAGATACATTTAAAAAAATATGTTTTTATTGATTTTTTTAGAGAGAGAGGAAGGGAGAGAGAGATAGAAACATTGGTGTGAGAGAGAAACATCACTGATCGCTGCTTCTTGAAAACACACTAGTGGGGATTGAGCCTGCAACCCAGACATGTGCCCTGACCAGAAATTGAACCAGGACCTCAGTCCATGGGATGACACTCAATCCACTGAGCCACACCAGCTGGGCTCAGATTCATTTCTTAAAACATAAGCTGGTCAATGAACTAAAAACAATTTTATGAAATGTTTCATTCATTAAGATGGTATTTTACAAAAGCCTTGATAAATAATTTTCACTCCTAATTGATATTTTAGAATAGAAATAAATTCACTCATTAAAGCATTGTGTGTTTAAATAGAAAACTTAAAGTGTCACCCATCTCTGAGATTTTAATGTATTTCCTAAGAATTATGGTTGTAAACCTGCCCTATTTCCTTTCATTCTCCTAATGTCTTGCTTCTGACCCTGTAGTGGCTTGCAGAACTGCTTAAGGCAACATCTATGAAGCTGGCTTAATAATTATTAGAAATATAGTTGATTATGTATTAATACAGAAGTAAGAAAATGATGTCTATGCCATTTGATTCTTTTTGACTGATGACAAGGATGCATTTCATCTTATTTTTTGCTGGTTTCCTTTGGAACCCCCTGAGTTACAGCAGCAGTTATTTATAATTGTTTGTTTTGCTCTCAGTGATTCACAATGTGCTGCTTATTGTCAACTTCGTCAAGAGTACTGAGATTTCTTTCTTTCCCCTGAGAGAGTCCAGTAGTCTTGTGTTCTTGTATAAGGGAGATATATGTATATTTTCCCTTTTCTGGTTTGAAAGATAAGATTAAAAGATGAGATTCAAAGGAAAATGCAACTCTAAAGCAGAAATAAAAATTTCTGATTTACCAGGAATAACAAGTGTTTCATAATTGGGTGTTCTCATTTGTTTTAAATATATTTATGTGGAAGGAGGGTTTTTTAGGTCTAGGCTAATTATTTTCTGAAATGAATCTGAATCCTCATTGATGTGGGGTGGGGGAGAATTGGTGCATGGGTAAGGAAATCAAACATATGTACATTGCTACACTAATGAGTGGTACCGCGTGTTCATTTATCTTACTCTTCAGTGAAATTGTCAACAAAATATTTAAATCCCAATCGTAGAAGTCAGAGAATATGGTAGATGAAAACTCACTGAGCTCAGCAGGTTCATATCCTTTCCTTGTGTATGCTGGGAGGTGTTTTGTACTTCTGGTTTCTCTCCCTGATCTGTCATGTGCTTATGTCATTTGCCTACCAGGGGGCCAGTCTTTCTTCAGCAGGAAGGACTCCATCCGCACCATCTATACTTCTCTGCATAACGAGCTGAAGAAAGTGGTGACAGGCCGTGGTGCCCTGGGTGGGACCGCTCCTCACGTGGAAGAACTCCTCTCCCACCTGTCAGAGCAGCTCTGCTTCTTCGTTCAGGCTCGGATGGAGATCGCAGACTTCTATGAGAAGATGTACACCCTCAGCACACAGAAATTCATCAATGCGGAAGAGCTCGTTGGCCTTTTGGACACCATCCTCAAGAAATACAGCTCCAGGTCAGTGTAGGTGAGGAGGAGGGGAGGGACAGATTGTATCAGCCTCTCGATCCTGTGCAGACCCTCAGTGTTTCCCCAACTTCTTATGAAGGTCTATGTTGAAAAGCAAAGGAGACTAGCTGTATTACATTTTGTACATATTAATTAATTGACAGGTATACATTAGGCACCTTCTTTGGCTTAGCTAACACCATCCTGGATGGATACTTCTCTAAGCAATAGTGATAGATCAATAATGAAATAAGCCTTAAAAGATGTATTATAACTGATTTTGGTGCTTATGAAAGAGTTCATACAACAAAAAGAATTGGATATAAAATAATGTGACATTTTAACAAACTGGTGTTTGAATAAGTGCCCCTTCAAAGTGATCGTTTTTGTGAGTTAGCCACTTACTCCTCTCATGTACCTGCTACTTACATGTGTTAGAAACTCCTGCAAAATTGCTTTTGTCACCTGTGGCCTAGTTTTGGTTTTGTTATAAATTTTCTCATAGTGGAGGCTAGCATGTGTGCGTCTGAGGAGGGCATACTTAAGGGTTTTTTTGTTCTTTTTTTGCTAGTCACAAAATTATTTGTAGCCAATTTAATTTTTTAAAAAATGTTGATTGACTGGAAAACTTTTCTTTGAAGGAAATTGCTACTTATAAAGAAATGAGACTAGTTGTAATGTATTGCTTACTGCCTGACCCAAAGAGGAATACCCAGAGAATTTGAGAAGCATTGTGAACATCATTGATGTGAATGACAGTTATATTCCATGGAGCCTGGCCCAGTGCCTTGCACATAGTAGGTGCTCAGTAATTTTATAATGGACTAAGTGGAAAGTGATTACTTTGAAGGATCCCACTCTTTTGGATATATAAGTTCATACATGTTTGCTTGAAAGAGAAAGGTAGATATGTTATTTTATATTCCCAAATGAAGGATAATACTCATCTGATTAATGGACTGGGAAAAGAGGCAAAATAGGGGGATTAAAAGAGACTTCATAGAGGAGGTCGAATCAGAGATGACTTTTCAGGGCAGGTAGATTTTGAAAACAAAGGTAGGAAAGAAGGGAGCAGAGGCTTTGAGATGAGGAGGTGATTTCAGAATATTGAAAGGCCTGAGTTTTGGTAGCGCCTGGTCTCTCCCTGAAATACCCCTGTCCTAGCTGTCTACTCATCATGTACGTCTCAGTTCAGATGTCAGAGAAGCCTTCTCTCCTTGTCCTACCCTTAGTCACTGTTCTGTTCCCCTGATTTATTTTCTTCACATTCCTTATCATAGCCATCTGAAATTACTGTTATTTGCTCAGAGTGTTTTTTCTTTTCTCACAATTAGAATGTGAACTCCATGGCAGCTTCTGTGTCTTCAGCACCTTGAACGGAGCCTAGCACATAGTAGGTGCTCAGCAGGTGTTTGTTGAGTGAACTGATGCATAGTTGGTAAATAGTAGGGAACCATGAAAGGTTTTTGAAGACGGGAGGGTCGTGTTCTCATCTTTATCTTAAAGTAATTACTATGGCACTGGTGTGTAGAATGGGATGGGATGGTGAAGGGAATGGCTACAGGAGGGAAGGTTAGTTTAGTAGGCTGATATGGTGATCTGATCAGTGATAGGGCCTCATAGTTGCAAGACAGTGGAAAAACAGATGAGGACAAGAAAAGTCTGTAAGTCTTGGCAACAGGATGGTGGGAGTAATGAGAAGTTTATGTCAAAGGTGATTCAGAGATTTTGCACCTTAAGGGATAATATCATTTTCCGGATTGCCTGGCCAGTGTGGCTCAGTGGTTGAGCATTGACCCATGCACCAAGAGGTCACCAGTTCAATTCCTGGTCAGGGCACACGCCCAGGTTATGGGCCTGATCCCCAGTGTGGGGCATGCAGGAGGCAGTCAATCGATGTTCTCTCTCTTCTCCCTCTCCCTTCCTCTCTCTCTAAAATCAATAAAGAAAAAAAAAGAATTAATATGATTTACAGGATTGAGAAGTCAAGAGGGGCTGGCTTAGAAGGAGGGTAGTGAGCAAAATTTAGAGCAAGTTGAGCTTGAGTTGCTAGCAGATTTTCAAGAGGAGATTCACCAGACAGTTGGAAATGGGGATCTAGAGCTCAGATGAAAAACCAGAAACAGGGAAAACAGTTGGAGGTCATCTGTATAGACAAGTAGACTGACCTTGGTTTTTGGTTTCAAAACTAACAGGTCAATGTTTCTGTAATACAGCAGCAATTAACTTTTAAGCTTGCAGGGAAAATGGGGGAAAGATTATTGTATAGCTATTTTGAAGGAAACTAGCACATGTTGAGCCACTACTGTATGCCGGGCACACTGTGTAAGACCCTTTTATATGACATCTGCTTTTAGGTATAGATGTAGATAGTTCTCCTTTTATGGAGTCTCAGAAGCTAAGCATGCCCAGGGTCATGCAACTTACCTTTGAACTGCTTCTCTTTGACCCCAGAGCCCCTATTCTGTATGCATTATTGCTTGTATCAAATAGTGAGATGCTTTTACCCAGTCCAGGTAAATAATTTATCTCTGTTGATCATTTTGCCAGTCAATAAATAGGATCAATTTTTATTTATTGAATAAATAATAAGACAAAGTAAGACTATGAATAGTCTTCTGTCATAGTAAGATGGAAAACATTGTAAGCACTTACTATACATTCCCCTGCAAGGAATAAGAGTTGTATCCTGCCTAAAATCATGTAATGTGCATATTCTCTCTGGGCACAAGATAGTTTGGTTGCCTTGCTGGAGTGGCTCAGTTGAGTGTTGTCCTGTGCACCGAAAGGTTGCCAGTTTGATTCCCAGTCAGGGCACATACCTAGGTTATGGGTTTGATCCCCAGTAGGGGCACGTACGAAAGGCAACTGATCGATGTTTCTCTCTCACATCAATGTCTCTCTCTATCTCTCCTTCCCTCCTACCTCTCTTTAGGTATCTTGGGTGAAGATTAAAAAAAATTGTTTGGTTAATATTATGTTCTTATTCTTTTTTTATAAAGTTTTTCCTAATTATTTTTTTATATTTTTGTTGGTTTTCTTGTTTTTAAATTAATTTATTTTTGATACAGATGTCCCCCCTCCCCATTGACACCTTCCTCCCGATCCTGCCCTCCTCCCCTCATCTACTTTTTTATTTTGAAAAATTTAATCCTACAGAAAAGTTTCAAGAACAGTATAATGTACACAGAGTTATGATATGACCAATAGCCCACTCCTGGGTATATATGCCCAATGAAAAATGCAAAATGAAAATATAGGTACACACATAAAAACTCTTACAGGAATGTTCAAAGCAACATTATTGGTAATAGGCAAAAGGTGAAAATAACCCAAATATCCATCAACTGATGGGTGAATGGATAAATAAATGTGGTATATTCGTACAGTGGGATATTATTCAGCACATGAAAGGACTGAAGTACTGAAAAATGCTATAATGTGGATGAACCTTATAAAATTATGCTACATGAAGGAAGCCAGTCACAAAAGATCACATATTGTATCATTCTGTTTATATGAAGTGCCCAGAATAGGCAAAGTCATAGACATGGAAAGTAGATTACAAATTCATAGACACAGAAAATGGTTACCAGGGCTGGAGGGTGGGGAGGGAGACTGGGGAGTGACTGCTAATGCATATGTGGTTTTTTTGGAGGGGGTCATGAGACTGTTCTAAAATTAGATAGTGGTGATGGTTATACAACTCTGAATGTATTAAAATCACTGAATTTTATACTTTAAGAGAGTGTATGTTACGTTATATAAATTAAATACCAGTAAAACTGTTACTAAAAAAAATTGTACAATGTACACATATTCTTTACCTAGAGTCACTGTTATTAAAATTTTACCACACTTTATTTCTCTCAGTATATAATTTTATTTTCCTGAGTTATGTAGAAGTCAAATGCAAACATCATAACATTGCACTCCTAAATACTCAGTTGGATCTTCTAAGAACCATACAAAACTGTAACGTAGTTTTCATACGGAAAATTTAATGCTGATTTTCTACCATCATCTAACATATAATCCATATTCAGATTTCCTCAGTTGTCCCAAAAATATCCTCTGTAGTTGTTATTTATGAACTTATGATATATTCTGAATTTTCTTTGTATTTATTTTAATTGGTAATACATTAACATGGCTCAAAATTTATCAAGTGCAAAAGAATACATAGTGAAAAGTCTACCTGCTGCCCTGTCCTTTAGCTACTTAATTCCCTTCCTAAGAAGCAATGAATGTTAGCAAGTTCTTCCAGTCATGGGGACAGTTAGTCTCTGCATACAAATATACACATTGTCTTTTTTAAAATAGATTTTACAAGCGTACAAGTTTTATGTTTATAATTATATTTCTCAAATCTGGTAAGTGTATATATATATATATATTTTTTTTTTTTTTTTTTGACATTTTTCATTTATCTTCAGATAGAACAGGAGGGATAAAGGGAGGAAGAGAGAGAAACATCGATGTGAGAGAGACACATTGAGTGGTCGCCACCCACATAACCCCATCCGGGGCTGGGGACAAACTGCAACCGAGGTACGTGCTCAGCGGGAACCGAGCCTGGGTCTCTCTGGTTTGCGGGCCGATGCTCCAAATGCTGAGCCAAACCAACAAGGGCAGTATATATATTTTTAATTAAAGTAATTGTTTGAAAACCAAAAACTAAAGTACATTTGGAGATATGATCGTTAAGGGGGAAGAGATGTCATGTGGTGATTGCTAAATGCTAATGTGAAAGTGGTTGCTGACCCATCTCAGAAGCTTAAGAAAATAATCATACCTGGGCCCCTCCTCTTTTTCCCTAAGAGGGTAAAATTTGGTGGTTCTGGAGTGGGTGTCCAGAAATGTGTATGTTTTAAAAGTTTTCTATGATACTGATACATAGTATGCATGAAAAAAATGGTTTGGGAAAATGGGAGAAAGATACCAACACTAGGATACACTGAGTATTGAACCTTACAGATGTGTGTGTGCATGTATGTGTAGATGTGTCT